TTATTACATATGATTATATTCGGCTGTGCCGAATCTTATATACCCTTCATCATGGCAAAAAAATTACTAAAAAGAAATCAAAAAATAAGTACCGGTTGTAAATCAAAAGTCCCCTTTTATAAATTTGTACCAGTCATAGAACAAAAAAGTAAAATAATCGTTTCCTCCAGATTTGTATTAACTTAAAAGGACCAAAAAGTCCGCTTTTACATGTTCCCCCTTACTCCGGGCTCTATATACTTAATTTAATGTTTCTAGATTCAATATTATAGAAAATTGAAAAAGTCAATTTTTTTAGATTTCACACTTAATCAAGGCTCTACATGCTTAATTTCATGTTTCTAGGTTCAATATCATAGAAGATTCAAAAAGTACCTTTTGTAGAACGAAAAAGAACCAAAAAGTCTCCTTTTATAGGTTCTCGGCTAATCCTGGTCCTACATGCAAAATTTCATGTTTCTAGCTTCAATATTATAGAAAATTCAAAAAGTAAATTTTGAAGAACGAAAAAGTCCCTTTTTTATAAGTTCTCACTTAATCAAGGCTCCACATGCTTAATTTCATGTTTCTAGGTTCCATATTGTAGTTTATTTTTCTGTCTCCGCATGCACGAAAAATCTCAGTTTTTGATGAAACTTTCAGAGGTTGTCTCGATTCTTTGCTCATATCTGCGTTATTTATGAACCGATTTTGCTGATTTTAAATAGGAAACTTCCCGAAAGCATGTTTGAAAGAATTGTTGAAGACTTGAATCCCGAAGATATTTGGGCTCTTCAGATTATTGATTTCAACAAACATACTGACAGACGGACATAAACTACTCCGCTATCTATAATATATATTATATATTCCGAGTCCTTATAGATACTTTATAGGTTCGGAAAATTATATTATGGAAATTACAAACGAAATGACAAATTCATTTATAAACTTCTCACGAAGGTGAAGGGTATAAAAAATTATTCATATAATTAAAGGCACGTGAATATGTTACCCACCTAACAAGACCCGCTTAATCAAATGCAATGTAACTGTCAACCTAGAAAACATCAAATGAATATTTACAGTAAAACAAAAACAAATTAAACAAAATTTTGCTATAGATATTAAATAATAGTATTTAAATAAATGCATTAATTTTCAAATCACATTTGTAACTTTTATTATTAGTTGTACTGTAAAAATTAAATTAAAATAATAGTTAAATAAAACTGGTAATGCAAAAGAACTTTAATGTAAATAAACTCAATCAAGGAACTTTTGTACAAGTTAATTAATATTTTAATTTTTTTTTTTTTTCTATTTAACATTTACTTATTGTTTTATTAACACTTTGGAATAAATACCTTTAATAAAACAGTTTAGTAGTCCTCAATAAGTAAAAGGCAATTAAATTTAATTATTTGTATTTGCTATTAAAACAAAAAAAAAACTTGTTTATACTTTATTAACAAAAAAAGTATAAACAATTTTTTCCGCCGCAAATTTTTTAATGAAAATTACAAAGATTAACTGTTTTATTTTATTTGTTATAAAATTGTAAACATCAAATTCTTGACATTTCGAGCAAATGTTTGTTTGCTACAATGATTACTAAAGTGAGTCATTCAGTCGTAAACAATTGGGAGGCATTAACAACACTGAGAGAAATTTAAATATAAAACTAATAACAATCACACGTTATAATCAATATTCAAATAACTTACTCTAAAATTTCACAAGATCTTTAACAATTATTTTGATAAACATTTGATTACAATTATTATCCATTCTTATTAATATGTATTTTCTGCAATCTTTGCAATTACTAATAAATAGAAAAATTTACCCTTTAACATAACTTTATTAACTATTTATAATTACCATCTTAATATCAACTTTCATTTATTTTAATATCTACTTTAATAGTCCATATGTTTTATCAAAAGACCTTTGATTTATTGCTTTAAATAAATAGTTACCTACCAGGAAAGTATTGAGATATTACATATAAATTAAATATAGAGTTTATTGATTTAATCTGGTCTGACTAATATTATCTTTAATTAATATTAGAAAATTATACCAGTAGACAGGTTGAAAAATTCCATCATATAATTTTTTTATGTAAAGATAATTTAATATTTAATTTTCCTTCCACTGTAGGTGATGAGGTGTTTTTATGATCGTGAATAATTTAAAATTATATATTTGTATGTGTTGACTTTCTATGAGATGGCTGTGTACACATTAGGGTTTAAGCATGGAACGATTAATCGTTAAAATATAAAATGTGATTTAATCCATTTCAAAAAAAAAAAAAAAAAAAAAAAGACTTAAGACACAAGCTTTAATATAATTTGAGTACATATGATCGGATCATACGCCAATGCAGAAATCTGAACGAATTATCAATATTCATTTCGCAAACTGCGAATCATTTTACAATTCTAACTCACGTGACTATGATTTTTTCGCAAGTCATGTATCGTTAAGATTACTATGAAGGTGGGTACCTTAGCCTTCCTTGCCTTTAAACAAGGTGAGGGTACTAAAAACGGCTTTCTGGAGTGCAGAGGAGAAAGTTGAAGAAGATGCTTCAGGAAGTCATAGTGAGTCAATCGCAGCACACTCCAAAGGTAAAGGGAATTGTCTCTTAATATCTGAGATAAAGAGAATAAAAAATCGCGAGGAGTTGACTGAGAATGAACCCAGTAAAAATTATCACTTCTTCAGGTCTTTTCCAGTAAGTACTTCTAAATTCTACTTCTTTTTCGCTTCTTATGAAGTTCTTTTTTTTGCTGGGAACATAAGAAACTTCCGGGAACTTCTTCAAGTCTTTTCCAGTACTTCTAAATTCTTCTTCTTTTTCGATTCTTTGTTAGTAGTTCGTTAGTTAGTTAGTTAGTTAGTTAGTAGTTAGTAGTTAGTTAGTAGTTAGTTAGTTAGTTAGTAGTTAGTAGTTAGTTAGTTAGTAGTAGTTAGTTAGTTAGTTAGTTAGTTAGTTAGTTAGTTAGTTAGTTAGTTAGTTAGTTAGTTAGTTAGTTAGTTAGTAGTTAGTTAGTAGTTAGGTTAGTTCGTTAGTTAGTTAGTTAGTTAGTTAGTTAGTTAGTTAGTTAGTTAGTTAGTTAGTTAGTTAGTTAGTTAGTTAGTTAGTTAGTTAGTTAGTAGTTAGTTAGTTAGTTAGGTTAGTTAGTTAGTTAGTTAGTAGTTAGTTAGTAGTTAGTTAGTTAGTTAGTTAGTTAGTAGTTAGTTAGTTAGTTAGTTAGTTAGTTAGTAGTTAGTTAGTTAGTTAGTTAGTTAGTTAGTTAGTTAGTTAGTTAGTTAGTTAGTTAGTTAGTTAGTTAGTTAGTTAGTTAGTTAGTTAGTTAGTTAGTTAGTTAGTTAGTTAGTTAGTTAGTTAGTTAGTTAGTTAGTTAGTTAGTTAGTTAGTTAGTTAGTTAGTTAGTTAGTTAGTTAGTTAGTTAGTTAGTTAGTTAGTAGTTAGTTAGTTAGTTAGTTAGTTAGTTAGTTAGTTAGTTAGTTAGTTAGTTAGTTAGTTAGTTAGTTAGTTAGTTAGTTAGTTAGTTAGTAGTTAGTTAGTAGTAGTTAGTTAGTTAGTTAGTTAGTTAGTTAGTTAGTTAGTTAGTTAGTTAGTTAGTTAGTTAGTTAGTTAGTTAGTTAGTTAGTTAGTTAGTTAGTTAGTTAGTTAGTTAGTTAGTTAGTTAGTTAGTTAGTTAGTTAGTTAGTTAGTTAGTTAGTTAGTTAGTTAGTTAGTAGTTAGTTAGTTAGTTAGTTAGTTAGTTAGTTAGTTAGTTAGTTAGTTAGTTAGTTAGTTAGTTAGTTAGTTAGTTAGTTAGTTAGTTAGTTAGTTAGTTAGTTAGTTAGTTAGTTAGTTAGTTAGTTAGTTAGTTAGTTAGTTAGTTAGTTAGTTAGTTAGTTAGTTAGTTAGTTAGTTAGTTAGTTAGTTAGTTAGTTAGTTAGTTAGTTAGTTAGTTAGTTAGTTAGTTAGTAGTTAGTTAGTTAGTTAGTTAGTTAGTTAGTTAGTTAGTTAGTTAGTTAGTTAGTTAGTTAGTTAGTTAGTTAGTTAGTAGTTAGTTAGTTAGTAGTTAGTTAGTTAGTTAGTTAGTTAGTTAGTTAGTTAGTTAGTTAGTTAGTTAGTTAGTTAGTAGTTAGTTAGTTAGTTAGTTAGTTAGTTAGTTAGTTAGTTAGTTAGTTAGTTAGTTAGTAGTTAGTTAGTTAGTTAGTTAGTTAGTTAGTTAGTTAGTTAGTTAGTTAGTTAGTTAGTTAGTTAGTAGTTAGTTAGTAGTTAGTTAGTTAGTTAGTTAGTTAGTTAGTTAGTTAGTTAGTTAGTTAGTTAGTTAGTTAGTAGTTAGTTAGTTAGTTAGTTAGTTAGTTAGTTAGTTAGTTAGTTAGTAGTAGTTAGTTAGTTAGTTAGTTAGTTAGTTAGTCGACTAAAACCTTAACGAGTATAAGAACAAGTAATCGTATTAACAAGAACATAATATTCTGGAAAATTTTAAAACTAAATAAAAACTTTGTAGTAATAAAATAAAACAAATAGTTCTAGCAACTAACTAATACGTTAATGCATCAAATGTAACTACAACAATAACAAAAACAACAACAGATACACTCGGCGTAAATAAGAACTTGTATTATTTGTAAAATATTAGGGTATTCAATTCGAAGGATTTTAATTTTAATCACTCTAGTTTTTCGACAAATAATAATAATCGATAAAATTTGTTATGCTGGAATTGACCTTTGTATGAATTATAATATAATTTTACTCTAAAAAAACTAATTTCATTTGTTCGGTTAATTGAACAAAGGAATAAGTTTATCCATTATTTTAAATATGACAATTTAAAATTATTCGATTATTTGGTCACTGGAAAACCCTATTGAATATCTACTTGGTACGAGTATGTAAGGGGAGTTGGAAAATATATAAAAACTGATCATATTTCAAAATTCAACAACTTGTCGTCGTTAACTTGACTCAATTTTATAAAAATGCTATTCGCCATAAAAGTATTGAACAGTTGAACTTTAACAGTTTACAAAACTAAACGCGATTACAACAATACAAAAAAAGTTAATATAATAAAAAAACATTAAACAATTACTTATTGTGAAACGCGTTAGTGGAAATTTATATGCGCTTGCGCATTGCATCGGTTGTAATTTGAAAATATTGAAAAATATTTTTTTGGCAAATAACACGCACATTTAAACATTTTTTGGATTATAACAAAAAAGTTAAATAAATAACTTAATAATGCAGTCATTTAACCTTTTACGTTTCAATATTTGGCATTTAAGACTTTTGGGTCTGGTGTATTTTTTGAGTTTTCTAAATAGTTCAGAAAGTTTTGAATATTTTAAAGAACAACGTAAGTGATTTTTGTGGATTATGTGTACATTAATACATAAATGTCATAAAATTATATGTATGATTATGACAAAATGAAATATATTGAACTTATTATGATGCTGATTATTAATTCAAAACAACATTTTTAGGACGTTCTTAATAAGTTTAAAAATAAGAAAATGTGGTGAATGGAAAAGTTTTCCATTAATTCTATAAATAAAGAAGTCAAAAATAATCTATTAATCGAGACTTCAAAGACGAATTTGACGGAGATTTTCTATAATTAGAGAATTTAACGTTTCACTTTTTAAATTCTATAAACAGTACTGATCGATCAGTGATCCGATCAAAAAGAAAAAAACATTTGATTACGATTGTGTTTCTGGTGATCATGTCAAAAATATTAAACATCAGGACTTAGATTTTCTCAAAAATTTGTGAAACATATTTTTATAATATTATTTATTGTTTCATTAAATTTCAGCCTCCTTTTTGAAACCCTGTAAAATCTATCAGCCTGGATTTACAGCATGTTCGACCGAAAACACCCAAAGATTATTAGCAGAGCTAGGAAAGGGTAACCGAAAACGAATTTTATTATTAATTGCGCTGTCATAACAAAAATTAACTTTTACAGGTGTTCCGGAAGTAAATGAAATTATTGGTTCAATTGATCCTATAAAATTGCAACAAATTCATTTTAAACAGGATAATACAGAAGCGGCTTCACTGAGGGCTGATCTAAGCGATTTAACAGCGACAGGAATAAAAGATGTGGTTATTAAGGAAAGCAAGTAAGTTGATCGATCGTATGAGAAATAATAAAAAAAATGAAGTATTGTTATTCTCCTTACAGAGTCAGCAAAAAAGATTTCAGTTGGTTGACCAAAATTTTTATGCCCAAATTCAAACTAGAAGGCCATTACAAAATGGATGGTCGTGTTTTGCTTTTGCCTTTAAATGGCGAAGGACATTTTGTTATTGAAATTGGTAGGTTAACGTTATATATACATATCGCACACCCAGTACAAAAGTGACTTAACTCCAAATTTTATTTTTGCGTCTTCATATTCTTCAAGACTTCAATTGAAGCCTTAAACTATGCACAAGATACTTGTATATCTCAAAAAAAATATCGGTGTATTTTGTTGTTGTTAATTGTTGAAGACAAAAACGTTAAGTCTTTCTTTATGTTTCAGCATTTGTAAAAATTTTGTTTCTTTTTCTGAAAAAAACAAGTTTTGAGTTAAGTCATTTTGTACTGGGTGTGCGATATGTATGTTTGTATCAGGCATGGAAAATTTAAATTTTGAAGTAGTACTAATATTACTTTTTAGGAGTTAAAGTACTAAACTAATTATTCGCTAGACTATAAACTAGTGTATAGACTAGACTACAGATTATAGACTAAAATATAGACTAGAGTATAACTAGATTCCAGACTAGAGCATAGACTAAACAATTGACTAGACTGTAGACTTGACTATAGACTTAACTATAAACTTGACTATAGACTTGACTATAGACTTGACTATAGGTTAAACTGTAGACTTGCCTATAGACTAAACTGTAGACTTGATTAAAGATTAGTTTATAGATTAGACTAGACTAGAGACTGGACTATAAACTATAAAATAGACTAGGCTATAGACTAGAATAGAATCGAGACAAGGCTATAGAATAGTCTCGAGACTATACTATAAGCTAGACTATAGACTAGACTATAGACTAGACTATAGACTAGACTATAGACTAGACTATAGACTAGACTATAGACTAGACTATAGACTAGACTATAGACTAGACTATAGACTAGACTATAGACTAGACTATAGACTAGACTATAGACTAGACTATAGACTAGACTAGAATAGACTATAGACTAGACTATAGACTAGACTATAAACTAGACTATAGACTAGACTATAGACTAGACTATAGACTAGACTATAGACTAGACTATAGACTAGACTATAGACTAGACTACAGACTAGACTATAGACTAGACTATAGACTAGACTATAGACTAGACTACAGACTAGACTATAGACTAGACTATAGACTAGGACTATAGACTATACTATAGACTAGACTATAGACTAGACTATAGACTAGACTATAGACTAGACTATAGACTAGACTATAGGATAGACTATAGACTAGACTATAGACTAGTCTATTAGACTAGACTATAGACTAGACTACAGACTAGACTATAGACTAGACTATAGACTAGACTATAGACTAGACTATAGACTAGTCTATAGACTAGACTATAGACTAGACTACAGACTAGACTACAGACTAGACTATTAAACTAGACTATAGACTAGACTATAAACTAGACTATAGACTAGACTATAGACTAGACTATAGACTAGACTATAGACTAGACTATAGACTAGACTATAGACTAGACTATAGACTAGACTATGACTAGACTATAGACTAGACTATAGACTAGACTATAGACTAGACTATAGACTAGACTATAGACTAGACTATAGACTAGACTATAGACTAGACTAAGACTAGGACTATAGACTAGACTATAGACTAGACTATAGACTAGACTATAGACTAGACTATAGACTAGACTATAGACTAGACTATAGACTAGACTATAGACTAGACTATAGACTAGACTATGGACTAGACTATAGACTAGACTATAGACTAGACTAGACTATAGACTAGACTATAGACTAGACTATAGAATAGACTATAGACTAGATATAGACTAGACTATAGACTAGACTATAGAGTAGACTATAGACTAGACTATAGACTAGACTATAGGCTAGACTATAGACTAGACTATAGACTAGACTATAGACTAGACTATAGACTAGACTATAGACTAGACTATAGACTAGACTATAGACTAGACTATAGACTAGACTATAGACTAGACTATAGACTAGACTATAGACTAGACTATAGACTAGACTATATACTAGACTATAGACTAGACTATAGACTAGACTATAGACTAGACTATAGACTAGACTATAGACTAGACTATAGACTAGACTATAGACTAGACTATAGACTAGACTATAGACTAGACTATAGACTAGACTATAGACTAGACTATAGACTAGACTATAGACTAGACTATAGACTAGACTATAGACTAGACTATAGACTAGACTATAGACTAGACTATAGACTAGACTATAGACTAGACTATAGACTAGACTATTAGACTATAGACTAGACTATAGACTAGACTATAGACTAGACTATAGACTAGACTATAGACTAGACTATAGACTAGACTATAGACTAGCTATAGACTAGACTATAGACTAGACTATAGACTAGACTATAGACTAGACTATAGACTAGACTATAGACTAGACTATAGACTAGACTATAGACTAGACTATAGACTAGACTATAGACTAGACTATAGACTAGACTATAGACTAGACTATAGACTAGACTATAGACTAGACTATAGACTAGACTATAGACTAGACTATAGACTAGACTATAGACTAGACTATAGACTAGACTATAGACTAGACTATAGACTAGACTATAGACTAGACTATAGACTAGACTATAGACTAGACTATAGACTAGACTAGACTATAGACTAGACTATAGACTAGACTATAGACTAGACTAGACTATAGACTAGACTATAGACTAGACTATAGACTAGACTATAGACTAGACTATAGACTAGACTATAGACTAGACTATAGACTAGACTATAGACTAGACTATAGACTAGACTATAGACTAGACTATAGACTAGACAATAGATTAGACTATAGACTAGACTATAGACTAGACTATAGACTAGACAATAGATTAGACTATAGACTAGACTATAGACTAGACTATAGACTAGACTATAGACTAGACTATAGACTAGACTATAGACTAGACTATAGACTAGACTATAGACTAGACTATAGACTAGACTATAGACTAGACTATAGACTAGACTATAGACTAGACTATAGACTAGACTATAGACTAGACTATAGACTAGACTATAGACTAGACTATAGACTAGACTATAGACTAGACTATAGACTAGACTATAGACTAGACTATAGACTAGACTATAGACTAGACTATAGACTAGACTATAGACTAGACTATAGACTAGACTAGACTAGACTATAGACAGAACTATAGACTAGACTATAGACTAGACTATAGACTAGACTATAGACTAGACTATAGACTGACTATAGACTGAGACTATAGACTAGGACTATAGACTAGACTATAGACTAGACTATAGACTAGACTATAGACTAGGACTATAGACTAAGACTAGACTACAGACTAGACTATAGACTAGACTATAGACTAGACTATAGACTAGACTACAGACTAGACTATAGACTAGACTATAGACTAGACTATAGACTAGACTATAGACTAGACTATAGACTAGACTATAGACTAGACTATAGACTAGACTATAGACTAGACTAATAGACTAGACTATAGACTAGACTATAGACTAGACTATAGACTAGACTACAGACTAGACTATAAACTAGACTATAGACTAGACTATAGACTAGACTAGACTAGACTAGTCTAGAAGCTAGACTAGACTATAGACTAGACTAGACTATAGACTAGACTATAGAGTAGACTATAGTCTAGACTATAGACTAGACTATAGGCTAGACTATAGACTAGACTATAGACTAGACTATAGACTATACTATAGACTATACTATAGACTAGACTATAGACTAGACTAGACTAGACTATAGACTAGACTATGACTAGACTATAGACTAGACTATAGACTAGACTATAGACTAGACTATAGACTAGACTATAGACTAGACTATAGACTAGACTATAGACTAGACTATAGACTAGACTATAGACTAGACTATAGACTAGACTATAGACTAGACTATAGACTAGACTATAGACTAGACTATAGACTAGACTATAGACTAGACTATAGACTAGACTATAGACTAGACTATAGACTAGACTATAGACTAGACTATAGACTAGACTATAGACTAGACTATAGACTAGACTATAGACTAGACTAAGACTAAAAAAAATAAAAAAAGACTAGACTATAGACTAGACTATAGACTAGACTATAGACTAGACTATAGACTAGACTATAGACTAGACTATAGACTAGACTATAGACTAGACTATAGACTAGACTATAGACTAGACTATAGACTAGACTATAGACTAGACTATAGACTAGACTATAGACTAGACTATAGACTAGACTATAGACTAGACTATAGACTAGACTATAGACTAGACTATAGACTAGACTACTAGACTAGACTAGACTAGACTAGACTAGACTATAGACTAGACTATAGACTAGACTATAGACTAGACTATAGACTAGACCTATAGACTAGACTATAGACTAGACTATAGACTAGACTATAGACTAGACTATAGACTAGACTATAGACTAGACTATAGACTAGACTATAGACTAGACTATAGACTAGACTATAGACTAGACTATAGACTAGACTATAGACTAGACTATAGACTAGACTATAGACTAGACTATAGACTAGACTATAGACTAGACTATAGACTAGACTATAGACTAGACTATAGACTAGACTATAGACTAGACTATAGACTAGACTATAGACTAGACTATAGACTAGACTATAGACTAGACTGTAGACTAGACTAAATGAAAATTATATACTATACTATAAAAAATTATAAAAAAGTATCGAGTTTCCCATGCTTGTTATATTACATAATTTTTAAGAAATAAAAAACCTTTACCAATTTTTCACTCCCCCTTGCAGATGGCATGGACATTATTATGCGCACAAAGACTAATCTTATTGAGAAAGGCGGTTTTACCTTTTACAACATTACCAGCATTCAAGTAGATTTGGAAATATCAAAACTTCATACACAATTCGATGATCTATTTGGTGGCAATAATAAAGAAGTCGAACGTAGCACTAATGAATCATTTAATAAGAATTGGAAAGAATTCTTTGAGGCTCTAAGACCACTTATAAACGAAATGGTTGAAAGAGTCCTATTCGATATTTTACATCCGGTATTTTTAATAATACCAGCTAATTTTATGATCGAAGATATACCTAGTCCAGAGAAGTTTTATGGTAGTAAGCAGTGAGAGATATTAAATACTTGCTAATATAGGTGATAAGTGCTATTTTTTTTAGTTTGTAAAATTGTTTTCTAAAAAAAAATAAATTTTCTCAGAAATCACAGCGTATTACAGATCAATAATAAATTTTTAAAAAATATATACTTTTTTGACCCTGTTATTCGATTCGATATCGGTTAAATAACCATAAAAGTATTTTTCAGATTCCTTATTCTCAGATGATCTAGCCATGTCCGTCCCTTTGTTTGTTAAAGACACGATAGGGTTTGGTGTTGCAAATGGACAATATCGGTCCACAATTTAAAATTATGCATTATTAAGTTTATTCAAAAATAACATTTCACAAAATTGAAATATCAACAAAACTAAATTAAATATTTAACAATTGTAAATATTGACAAAAAAATTAAATAAATGCATAAATTATTAATATTATTATTATTATAAATTACTTTGTCAGTTTTCAATTTTTAGGAAAACTTATAATTAAGTACATTTGTTACTAACAGAGACAGAGAGAGACGACATAAGGAAAAATAAAACTTAATAAACTAAAAATGAAATATTTTACAAACAAAAAAATTATGTTATAATTGCAATATTTTCAATTTATGTTTTTAAAATACATTAATGGAACCAATCCCATTTCTTGTAATCAACTTCCGATAACAATCTAGCGATTTGAGTGTGTTGAGTATTGCCATTGCGCATGAAAACACGACGATTGCCCAAGGGTTGCAATTGGCGATAGTTATCGACTAAAGCTCCTTCTTGATTATCAGATAATTGACGGAAACGTGAGATCTAAAGATAATATAAAAATTATTATTAATCTTTATAAAGTTTTTAACATTGTAAATAATTTACTTGTTTAGGTGAAATGGGTATGGGATCTGGATATAAAACCCAGGTAACAGCCTCCGAACAGGGTGGTGTGGTCAAAGAACCTGTAAATTAAAATATTTATTAATTGTGTTTTTATCTACGCAATCACTTTATTATTTAACTACTGTCTTTTATTGTTAACTCTTTTTAAAGGCCTCCAGATATTTGTATTAAGGTGTACTACGTACATTGACACTTATCGATCAATCACGAAATTTTGTCAAATAATTAACTATAAATTATTGTGCTAAATAAAGTTTCCACAATTTTGTTTATCATTTGACAAACTGTTTACGTAAAAAGGTGTGAATTATATGAACAAATATTTGTTTAGCAAAATTTTATAAATCTGATGAATAGCGGTGTCACTTAAATACAAATTTTCGGTAAGTGTTGACAAATTATTTGTTCAAGACTATTATTAAACAATATACAAATATTATAAAACTACAGAAATTTATTGAATATACAATAAATTGTTATCGAAAAAATCATAAACTTATAGTGCGTTTCTAAATGTATAAATCAAATTTCTCTTATTTATTGCTTGTAAACAATTTAATTTTACTTCCTTTTTTTAACCAACTTACCTTTGTATGTATAAAATTTATCAATATCGACACCATGTATTAGAGATGATAAAGAGAAAGTAACATTCAAAGCAACTTCATTATTGGCTTCCGGTATCAAGTGTAAATGACGACAAATTGTTAAAAGTCCTTGGCCCTCATCTTCATCCAACTAAAATAAAATATATTTAAATTGTTATAGGAAATAAGAAATACAAGAAATAAATTATAAAATTACACTTGAGCCTCGCACTGCAGTCATGGAATATTATGCCTTTTTTTAAACTAGACTATAGACTACACTAGACTATAGACTAGACTACTATAGACTAGACGACTATAGACTAGACGACTATAGACTAGACGACTATAGACTAGACGACTATAAACTATACGACTATAGACTAGACGACTATAGACTAGACGACTATAAACTATACGACTATAGACTAGGTTATAGACTAGACTATAGACAAGAAATAAATTATAAAATTACACTTGAGCCTCGCACTGCAGTCATGGAATATTATGCGCTTTTTTAAAACTAGACTATAGACTACACTAGACTATAGACTAGACTACTATAGACTAGACGACTATAGACTAGACGACTATAGACTAGACGACTATAGACTAGACGACTATAGACTAGACGACTATAGACTATACGACTATAGACTATACGACTATAGACTATACGACTATAGACTAGGTTATAGACTAGACTATAGACTAGACTATAGACTACTAGACTAGGGACTATAGACTAGACTATAGACTAGACTATAGACTAGACTATAGAGACTATAGATCGACTATAGACTAGGACTATAGACTAGACTATAGACTAGACTGTAGACTAGACTATAGACTAGACTATAGACTAGACTAATAGACTAGCTAGACTATAGACTAGACTATAGACTAGACTATAGACTAGACTATAGACTAGACTATAGACTAGACTATAGACTAGACTATAGACTAATAGACTCGCTATAGACTGACTATAGACTAGACTATAGACTAGACTAGACTATAGACTAGACTATAGACTAGACTATAGACTAGACTATAGACTAGACTATAGACTAGACTATAGACTAGACTATGACTAGACTATAGACTAGACTATAGACTAGACTATAGACTAGACTATAGACTAGACTATAGACTAGACTATAGACTAGACTATAGACTAGACTATAGACTAGACTATAGACTAGGACTATAGACTAGACTATAGACTAGACTATAGACTAGACTATAGACTAGACTATAGACTAGACTAGACTATAGACTAGACTATAGACTAGACTATAGACTAGACTATAGACTAGACTATAGACTAGACTATAGACTAGACTATAGACTAGACTATAGACTAGACTATAGACTAGACTATAGACTAGACTATAGACTAGACTATAGACTAGACTATAGACTAGACTATAGACTAGACTATAGACTAGACTATAGACTAGACTATAGACTAGACTATAGACTAGACTATAGACTAGACTATAGACTAGACTATAGATAGACTAGACTATAGACTAGACTATAGACTAGACTATAGACTAGACTATAGACTAGACTATAGACTAGACTATAGACTAGACTATAGACTAGACTATAGACTAGACTATAGACTAGACTATAGACTAGACTATAGACTAGACTATAGACTAGACTATAGACTAGACTATAGACTAGACTATAGACTAGACTATAGACTAGACTATAGACTAGACTATAGACTAGACTATAGACTAGACTATAGACTATTGACTAGACTATAGACTAGACTATAGACTAGACTATAGACTAGACTATAGACTAGACTATAGACTAGACTATAGACTAGACTATAGACTAGACTATAGACTAGACTATAGACTAGACTATAGACTAGACTATAGACTAGACTATAGACTAGACTATAGACTAGACTATAGACTAGACTATAGACTAGACTATAGACTAGACTAGACTATAGACTAGACTATAGACTAGACTAGACTATAGACTAGACTATAGATTAGACTAGACTATAGACTAGACTATAGACTAGACTATAGACTAGACTAGACTATAGACTAGACTATAGACTAGACTATAGACTAGACTATAGACTAGACTATAGACTAGACTATAGACTAGACTATAGACTAGACTATAGACTAGACTGTAGACTAGACTATAGATTAGACTGTAGACTAGACTATAAAAGGATTAAAATCTTAAATTTTTGTGGATCTACCATTAGTGCAAAAAGGACACTAATATACTCAAAATCTACATATACGCATACTTACATTGAAAAAGAAACCCAATACAGCTGCACCATCAGCATAATCCAAAGCTTCTGTCAATGAGGCATATTTCTTATTGCGATGTACAATATGCATTTCCATAGTGTAACGTATATCATTGACAACATGTTCGGCACCACGATTATTTTTATCACCCCAATGGAAGTGAATGCCTTCAACTTCAAATTCGCCCGGTAACTTGGCACCGCGTATATATGGCATAAATTCACCATTATCCTTTGCCACATCAGCTAGTTTTGGTATAGCAATTGATACTGTAAGGAAGAGGGAAGAATTTTTCACGAAAAAAATCACACAGGTAAGTAAAACAAAAACGTTATGATTGAAGTAAGAAAAGGTAAAAAATTTAAGCAAAAAAAAAAATAAGATACAAAAAACTGTCTAAAATAAAAGTGATGCTGTTGCACAGCAGTTAGTTGGTCGTCGTCATATACACTAATTTTAAGAGGAAAAAATTGGAAAAATTCTAAAAAATCAGATTATTTAGTAAGTTGATTGATCAAGTCTCTTGTGCGAAGGTAAATTGATAAAAAACAATTTTGAAAGAAACTGTTAGAGATTTATGAAACTTGTAGGCTTAAAATACGTTTACAGTTTCTTTTCATAGTTGTTTCTTAAACAAGAATTAAAATGATACGAGTATTTGGCATTAAAGGAAAGCAAATGGGTATAGGAAAATATGAATGACAGTTAAATTTTGTAATAGTACCAGTGTAATTTGAAAAACCTGCAATGAGAGAAAAGTAAATTTTCCAAATTTAGGTTTAAAGAAAGTTCACATAGAGAGAAGGACATACAAGTATGTACAATGTTGAAGGAATATATTTATAGTGTATTTTCCATCAATCAAATTGATTTTAAAAACATTAAATAATTCAAACAATGTCTAGACAATAGACCTTCTGTGCAACAATTTTGTCAAATTTGCAGTGCTAACGTTAAAGCTTCTTAAAAATATATATAAAAAGTGTGTATAATCATCTTACCGGTATGACCATTGTTAATCATTTTCAAAGGATAGGGCAGAACATTATGATAACCAATCATATCCACTGCAGGCATATGAAGAGGAATGGTCTGGAAATTAAAAAATATAATTATTAAACTATATTCGAATGATGCAAACATAACATTACCTTGCTCGAATGTACCGCTATGGGTGATTGTGTTTTACCCGCACAATGGCCATGATGACGAGCCCAACGTCTTTGATTTGGTTCAGAGTAACCGAAACGATGACCACATGTAACTAAAAATAGCAAAAAAAAATTTAAAGTAAATAATTAAAAACAAAATAGTTATTAAATAACATCAAACATAAAAATCAAAATTTCTAATCAAAATTCATTAA